TAGAAAGTGAATCTATGAAGATGATTCCATATGCTAGTATTGTGGGGAGTTTGATGTATGGTCATAGCCTACGTAGTTAGTGTCCTAAGTAGGTTTCAGTTGAACCTAGGACAAGAGCAGCAGAAAGCAGTTAAGAAAGTTATGAGATACTTGAAAAAAAAACTAAAGGTTATATGCTTACATTCCAACATTTAAATCATCTTGAGGTGGTTGGCTACTCAGATTCTGATTTTGTTGGATGTTGAGATGATTTGAAATCAACCTCAGGTTACATTTTCATGTTAGCTGGCGATGTCATCTCTTGGAAAAGTGTTAAACAGACTCTAGTGGCATCTTTTACTATACAAGCTGAACTTGTGGCATGTTATGGGGCTACAATCCAAGTCGTTTGGTTCAGAAATTTCATTTCTGGGTTGAAAGTTGTTGATTCCATCTCAAGACCAATCACTATATACTATGATAACAATGCAGCATTGTTCTTTTCAAGGAATAATAAAAGTTCTAGTGGGTCAAAGTATATTGACATCAAATATTTTGGTAGTTAGAAACATGGTCAAAGAATGGCAGACAAATATAGAGCATATTAATACAGAGGCTATGATTGCAAACCTTTTGACTAAGGGACTCGCTCCACAAGTTTTTAAGACTCGTGTTGCTATATGGGCATTGTGGAAACATTTGATATTTTTGGATAGTGGGAGTTATTTATGTAAAAGAACAACATTTTGACTTGATCCTTTTACGGGGTACGTAGGCAACCCATATGTTTTTCGGGTACAGCCCCTTCTGATAATAAAATATATTTTCCCTATTCATGAACTTTTGAGCATGCATTTAACTTATATCTTTTTATCACAATATTATTGTAATCTCAAGATATGACAGATAAAGACATAAGATGAGTCTCTTTTGAAGACATGTGGCTTCATTTTGATCTGAAACATTATGAGGACCGATATGAATTAGCATAATTTTTTTTATCACATTTGGGTACTAAGTTCATACCACATAGTACTACATTAGTTGGAGGATGGGGATCCATGCAGATAAGGATGTTGCATTTGTAGCTGTGGAATGGTCTTACGTTCCTTAATTGGTGTAATGATTTCGATGTTCGATGTTAACATTCTTGTTGGATCGGATCATGTTGGGTAAGGTGTCATCATTGGAGCTATACTTTTGTGGCCACTTATGTAGTCTAACTCAGGTGTTAAAAGTTTTGTTATAGTAATCAAAAGTTTGTCCAAGTGGGAGAATGTTGGAATATTTCTAATCTGGGCTTCATATTTGATCATTTATTTTACGGATTAAATGTGGGGCTCATAATGATATTTGCATCCAAATTTGTTATGTGATCAATTGGAACTTTTTATGCCTTACAGGTTGTATTTAATATGATGTGGTAATTTTAAGTATATGGGCCGAAAATATATATAAACCCTAATTAGAGTTCCGATCATAATGGGACAGTTTAATACTTTCCTATATAAAGGCTAGGTCCCCTCTTCTTTCCATATTTTTTTATTAGTTTGCCCCATTGATGGGTAATACTTTGTGAGGAGTGAGAACGGGAAGATCTAGCAGCTATTATTCATATCAACAATGGCTTTCGCAGGTATGAATTCGATTTATTATTTATTATTATGTGATTTTTGATCCTTAGCATGATTACAATTAAATTTCAACACTTAGCAGATACACATAACAATACTTTATACAATATCAATGAAAGTAACGCAGTATTTCTTTCCACCTTTAGTTTGAACAAATTTCAAATCACAAATATTACTATGAATTAGTTCTTTCGTGTTCCAACGAATCGAATGAAAGGGTGTTTTGGTCAATTTTGCCTCATCAAAATTTTCACATTTATGATTTGGATTAAATTTCATCATTGGGATTAAATTTTGATTCATAAGTTTACGGACAGATTTGTAATTTACATGTCCTAATTGATTATACCATAAATAAGACAACTTAAGCATAAAAGCAGAATTCAAAGTTTTATCCATTATGCTTTGTTCTGGTACAATTGTGAGAATGTTCATTTTGAACATTCCATCACATATCTTTTCTTTATCAACATACATCTCATTCTTAGTGAGTACAAATTTATCGGATACAATACAAGTTTAAAGCCTTTTTGCTAAGTAGAGACCCGGATACAAGATTCTTGCGAATATCTGGATGGTAAAACATTATTGAGGACGAGCTCTTTACCAAATGTCATCTTCAAAGTAACTTTCCCTTGTCCTTCAACTTTCGAACTTGCAGAATTTTCCAAAAAGGGTTGTTCTCCATGTAACTCTTTGTAGTATGAGAACGTGGTCTTGTCTGAACAAATGTAATGGGTAGCACCAGTATCAACCCATCATTTTCTTGAATTTTCAATGTTGTTACATTCAAACATGACCGTAGAAAAATTCATCTCTTATACCCCTTCAGATAGGGTGTCCATTCAATCACATTTGCTTGTGTGATCTTCTTAGGTTTTCGACATTCACTAGAAAGATACTTATTTTTTCACAATTATAGTAGTTGCCTTTGAGCTTCTTGGAATTCTTAAAGTTTTCACTTTTTTGTTCATCACTCGAGACCTTACGCTTTTGTTGTTGACCTTCGAATCGAATTCCACAAAATTTGCTCCAAGTTGAACAATAGACTTCTTTTCTATCTTTTAGTTGTCTTCTTCAATCCTTAACCGAACTATCAATTTCTCTAAGTTCATCTACTTACATTTATGTTTGAGATTTTTTGAAATCTCTCTAGAGTTTCTCAATGATAGCAGCAACTTGAAAAAATTCACTCAACTCCATTTTTTTCACATGAATGTCATGAAGTACAACTTGTAGTTCTTGCACTTAACCAATGAAGGTTTTGGAGTCTATCATCTTGTAATCAAGGAACTTTCCAGCTATAAATTTCTTTGTGCCAGCATTTATTTTTTTCTCCAAAGAATTTCAAATTTCCAAGTATACTACTGAGATTTACTCGACAAGAATAACAAATTAGTGTATTTACATTTATCATTTGACTATCGAATCAAATCCGAATATTTGGCCAAAGTTGAGGAAAAGATACTTTTCATTTTTTATACCAAACGGAATTTTTCAATCTTTAAATCATATTCCAACATTGATTTTATATGAAGTTTGTAATAAGTATTTCCACCTTTTGTGTGTGTGCGCAAGTTTGAAATTCTTATTATCTATTATCTCTCAGAATCAGATGGCTTAAATTTACATAAACAACTCGCATCAAGAACGTCCGTCAACTCTCAGACATGTGTTGCTTAGAGGATTTGAATATAATCAACTGCATCAAGCTGCCTGCCATGTAAACAGGGATAATTAGATTGGTCATATTTTGCTTTATGTTTTTTGATATTCTAATGAACAGTTTTGTTATTTGTATTTCCTTCTGTGTCTTTTTGTATATAAAGAAATAAATTGTAGTGCTATTTGGAAGAAAGAAAAGATGAGCATGGATCTAATTTTACATCTTTTGAATTCTTTGAAATTTCATTTTTGTATCAAATGAAAAAGTATAATATTCGTTAGCTCCTATTTGAGAATCATTATTTTGAAACTTTTTATTTCTCATAATCATTACATTCACACAATAAAATATTTTACACATAATTTCAAAAAAAAAAATCCTTACTTTTTCATCACGCATTCTCTAAAATATCACTATTCAAAACATCATTTTTTCAAAAATATTCGAACGCTTTCATTTCATCTAGTCTGTTGCATTTTGCAGTAAAGTAAATTGCGATATCTTAAATCATGTTTAACAACCATTATTTTGAAAAAACAAAGTTTTAAATAGATATTTTTAGAAGAATATGTGATTGAAAGGTAAAGAAATTTTTTTAATTTATTTGTAAAATATTTTATTGAATAAATATGTGATTATAAATAAGTATATGAGAAGAGTTTTGAAATAATAGCTTATCATACTTTGCAAGGATTGAAAAGTGGCTGCATTACTATTAATAATTATTAATAAAATAATATAAAAGCAAATAAATGAAAGAAAATTTAAGGTGACGGCATGGAAAACGTGAGCAGAAGACAACAAGGGAGACTGACATCATTCGTAACGTCATATGAACGACTTCAGCACTTTAAGGGTTTTCCCTCTAACTAACGCATGTATTATGCTTCCTTCCCCTCTCCTTGACCAAATCAACTACCGACAAAATCTTTGGGCCCCACAATTTCATTTTCCTTTTGCTCAAACCCACAATTTCAAAATTCAAAACAAACGTTACAATATTTTATAAAATAATAATGTGAAAATCGACAAATATATATATATATATATATAATTAATAGTTGTATTTTACCATATGTTTCTTTAAAATAAGTAAAAAAAAAATCACGATGACTTATAAATTATTACTTTTAAGTAAAATGGAAATATCATACACGACATATGCACTGCAAAAATTAAAAATGAGGTTGGGTTCAATTTGGTAGATAAAAGAGTAACATTAGATACGTTATTCCACAAAATTTTAAATTGAAAAAATAGAATTTGTCAAGTAAGTATCTTTAATATTCATTATTAATTAATCATAAATTTATTTATTTTGTGAGATTATTAACTGAATTCACTGATCCGGATCGAAATCAAGAAATTCTTTAAGAGATGATATCAAAATTTTACTCATCGAACCGTGCAAGTAATGGTTGGATTAGGCTCTCTTTATATTATTTTTCTTTTATTTTCAATAATAAGTGTCTCCAGTCATGTCTGGTTATTCAAATAGGAAAAAAAATTAAAAAAGATTTGATAATGCTTATTTTTATGGCTTCATAATGCAATTGGGTCTTGAATTAGATCCAGTGATGCGCAATACTATATATATATATATATATATATATATATATATAGAGGAGCAATTCATGTTTATTGATAATAAGGTTGATTAATTAATAATATATTAAAAAAATAATTATACTCCCAACAACTAAAATAACCCGCAAAAGAAAAATAAAGGCAATCCATTATCATTTTACTCATCATCGACTATTTTGATCTTGCCGTGTGGACCTGCTTGATTCCTACGTTTGGTGAATTCTAAGCTTCTGCTTTTTTTATGTCTTTTCTTTGGATCTACCTCGATGCTTGATTAATTTCTCTGTTGCTGTAAATTCTCTATTCATTTCATTCTCTTTCAAATTAAACTTTAGTTAATTCATTGGATTATATTGCCCATCATCTTATTCGGGGATTCCGCTGGTTTTCCTCTTCTTTTGCAGTTTCTGTTCTTGTTCAGATGGTTGTTTGCTTATTTCTTTGTCGTGCCTATTGAGATAGTCATCTGGAATATATCATGGGTTGATGAAAATTTTGAGATTAACAATTGGATATAAGGGGAGTAATTTGTGTTCCTTCAAATCTGCAGTCTACCTGAGCTTATGTGAATTTTGCTAATTTTAAATGACAGTATCTATATGGTCATGCCCTCGTGCTTAATCCTTATGGGTCGTATAATTGGGGTTTGATATATTTGGATTTTGATTTTATTAGAGGGATATATATGAATGAATTTGGCCCTCAGAGATAGGGTTTTGATGCTTATATTGTATTAATGGCGAGTCCAGCTGAACTGTCCTCATCGATCAGTTTCACGTCATCTTCTCATGTCTCTAATGGCTCTATTAATAATAAAGATGCCCTTGGAGGCTCTGAGATGGGGCTCAATCTCGATATCATCAGCTTAAGTAAGCTAAGCAGTAATCTGGAGCAACTTTTATGTGATTCCAATAGTGATTTCAGTGATGCGGATATTGTAGTTGAAGGCACTAGTGTTGGTGTTCACCGATGTATATTAGCTGCTAGGAGTAAAATTTTTTGTGATCGTTTTGGAAAAGACAAGGGATCCATTGGGAAGGAAAGCAGACCGAAGTACTTTATGACAGACCTGTTGCCTTATGGCCAGGTTGGATATGAGGCTTTTCTTATTTTCTTGAGCTACTTATACACAGGAAAGCTAAGGTCATCTCCACCAGCAGTGTCAACGTGCGTTGATAGCATTTGCGCCCATGATGCCTGCAGACCTGCCATCAACTTTTCTGTGGAATTGATGTATGCGTCCACTATTTTTCAAGTTTCGGAACTGGTCTCACTTTTTCAGGTAAACTATCAGTTTCTAGTTGATTACCACTTAGCATTTTCATGTGAAAGTCTGTTCATAAATTCTTTCGTGCCCTTCATTTCTAGATTATGAAGTGTATATTTGTAATCATGTTTCTATAGTAACTTACTCAGATAATGATTATTCAGCTATTTTCAAGTCATTGTTGCTTTGAAGTGAAAAATTCTCTGGTTTCTAAATGAAGCAATGATGCAAGGGCTAGACTAAATGTGCATTCAGAGCCACCCAAAAGCCAAACGCGGCATTAGCGTGGGAATGGATTTGTGGACAAATTAACAATATAAGTGGCTGCGATTGTACATTCAAATCAATGCATTTTGTGGACAATGAACGAGTCAGTGGGCTGGAGTTAACATTTACGTTGCTAATAGTAATAATAATAGCAAAGACATTATAGATTGATACTGGTAGATTAAACAATTAAAGAGAGTGTTTTTAAGTGTATTATGTACACTGCATTTTGGCAAGGGGCTATGATTTGAGGACCAACTCTTTCATCTGGAAACTGTTTGAGGAAAACCTTATTTATGACACAAACAACAAATCAGGTGATCGTTTCTGTTTTTTTATGAGATCTTATCATGAAAAGAAGTCTGTAATGGTGTAAAAGCTTAACCTCTTTTTGTCTTTAAATTTCTAACTTAAGCATGTTGTGTAAGTGCATCTTTTCCTTGACTATTTTCCTGCAAAATTGCCTTTGTTCACAACCAGGAATAATATATCAATGTTGAATTGCAGCGTCGACTTCTGAACTTGGTCAGCAAGGCTATTGTAGAAGATGTTATCCCAATACTGATGGTAGCCTATCATTGTCAATTACCTCAACTTCTAACACAGTGTGTCCATAGAGTGGCACGATCAGACCTTGAGTCCGTTGCTATTGAAACTGAGCTTCCATACAACATTGCAGAGGATATTAGATTGTTCCGCCTTAATTCTGGGGCTGAAAATGAGGTAACCGTTGATCCCTTGCACGAGAAGAGAATTAAGAGAATACACAAGGCATTGGACTCGGATGATGTTGAACTTGTCAGGCTTCTCCTAACTGAATCTGATATAACCTTAGACGAAGCCTACGCTCTCCACTATGCTGTTGCATATTGTGATCCTAAGATAGTATCTGAGGTTCTTAGTCTAGGTTTGGCTGATGTCAACCTTCGGAATAGGCGGGGTTACACTGTGCTTCACATTGCTGCTATGCGCAAGGAGCTATCAATTATAGTTTCTCTTTTGACTAAGGGAGCAATTGCATCAGAAATGACAATGGAAGGACAAAGTGCAGTTAGCATTTGTAGGAGATTGACGAGGCCGAAAGATTATCAGGCAAAGACGGAGCAGGGGCAGGAAGCAAACAAAGACAGGATATGCATTGATGTTTTGGAGAGAGAGATGCACAGGAATCCAATGGCTGGAGATGTGTTGATGTCTTCCCTGACAATGGCTGATGATCTGCATATGAAACTGCTCTACCTAGAAGACAGAGGTAACTTCCTTAATCTGATATCGTTGAACTGTGTAGTCACTTCTATTTTCTTAATCAGTCCATGCTCTTATTTTCATAAATGATAAACCTTCATTTACATTACTGAATAAACTTGCAATATTTAAAGACTGAAAAAAGGTGCAAGGTATTGACATTCTAGTTCAATATTTTATAGCCTTCGGTTTGATGTTAAGAGTTGCCTAAGAATTGGATATCATGAAAAGTTAAAAGTTTTTGAGGTTCATGTCTGTTGAGTGTGCTAAGCAGGGGAGGCCCTCGACCTAAATACTGAAAATAATATGAGATGCTCGACTACTTTTTATACTGTAAATGAATATCAGACTCAAAGCAATGCATAGAAGCTATTTATGAGTAATTCTGATGTGCAAAGAAAACTATTAAATTTGGTAATTATGTCGGTAAAATCAATACTTTGGACTTGAGAAAATCATTCTTCACTATTGTGGTCATGGGACCAGTAGTCCAAAACCTCCCGAAGGAATTAGCTAAAAAGTTTATGAACATATTAGATCCATGATGATTCATGCACCAGTATATTTTTTTATTTGCAGTAGCATTTGCACGAATGTTTTTCCCCACTGAAGCTAAGCTAGCTATGGAAATTGCACATGCTGAGACAACTTCTGAGTTAGCTGGCCTTCTATCATTAAAAGGTTCGAGTGGGAACTTGAGGGAGGTTGATCTGAATGAGACACCCCACATGCAGAACAAAAGGTTCCTCGCAAAAATGGAAACCCTCTCAAGAACAGGTATAGCAAACTTTTAGATTTTTCCAACTCGTCAAATTTCACATTTTCATCTCAACTTGCAAAATGTTGGTGACCTCCCATTGCTTTGGTCTAATTAAATAGAATGGCTCGTAAATAAGAATTTCAACAAACTTTCTCCATTCTTCATTCATATGTTTATTGTTTTAAATAACCATAAAATATAGCATCACCCAAGTGTTCCGTACTTCGATTGGGATTCCATCAAGACCTATTGTTTTTCTCATATTCATCCTCTTGATAGTCTCCCTCAATTCTTCTAAGGTAAACTTGCAATAATTGGTTTTCTCCTCATCATGCTCTTGATGGTCTGCCTATGTTCTTCCACTCTTGTATGTAACTTGCAAAGCCTGTTTTCTATTTCATCTAATATAGTATTTCTTGCAAGAATCCTAACCATACTTTGAAAGATTTTGCTGCATTAGGAGCAGTGGAGGAGGGAGTGGGCGCCAGTGAGGGGGGGAAACTGTATTTTACATTTATTTTAATTTGCAAAATTGACCGCTGGAAAATGTCTTTAACCAGTGGAAGAAAGGGAGAAGGTTTGAGGGGGTAAAAAGTATGAAAATTGCACCATTGTTTCTGAATTTATTGCCTTTAGCAATTTAAAAGCATGTTTGGGAGTTGTTTATAAATGGTTTAAATGAGGTTTGATCAATTATAAAAAATTAATACACAGTAGCCAAACGTGCTAAAATTTTCATTATAAGTAGCACAATTGATCAGAACCGTTTAAATCTATTTTAGTCGTCTAAATTGAAGTGAATTTGCTCTGTTTGATACATAAAATGTTATGAAGAGATTCAAAAAATTAGTAAGATTGCTAGTGTTATTATATTATTTCATTTTTAAAATTAAAAAATTATACATTCATATTTAAACTTTTGCTCCCACTAAATTGGAGTCATTGCTTCGCACTGGTTGGGAAGTTTTTCTGAGGAAGTAATATAAAACATTATCACTGGAAGTTCTTGATAGAATAAAGAAGCATTACTAAATCTTCTAACAGATAGCTCTGATCTATGTTCAAGAATTCTTTTTCCCCAATTACTGGGTAAAAATGTTGTTAAACTTCCTATGCTTGACATGATGGCAGTTGAGTTGGGTCGTTGGTATTTCCCTCATTGCTCTCAAGTGCTGGATAGGTTTATGGAGGATGACTTGCCCGATCTATTCTATCTAGAGAAGGGTACTCCGGAGGAGCAGAGAATAAAGCGGACACGCTTTATTCAACTCAGAGATGAAGTTCAAAGGGCATTCAACAAGGACAAATCCGAGCTTCACGGCTCCAGATTATCTTCATCTTCCACCAAACAGGGCGTAAATTACAAAGCAAGGAAATTGTAAAGATGCATTATGATTTATGCATCTGAAATAATCTTGACAAATTATACTCTTTTGGATTGAAGATAGAGTCTTTAACAAACTCGAAGTGGATGTTTGTGTAAAATTTTGGAGGGAATAAACTGTTTTCCTAGTATAAGATAGGTGCAAGCGTGAATCTATACTAAACTTGTGGTGTTAAAACTGGTGCAAGAGATCTTTAAGGAAATGTTATATTGTTTGTCGGATCGAGGTAATTACTCTTTATTATTAAAATGAATTTACCTTCCATTGGTTTCCATTGTCAATCCGGGGGACTTGGTCTGAAACCCACGCTAAGGCATTGACAATTCACTCTCCTTCCCATAATGAAGTGAATATTAAGTTAAATAAGCTTACTTAAGACTTCAATTTTTCATTGAATCAAAAATAGTTTTAGACAAACAAGTATGCTATTAACATCTCATGGCATAGCAGATTGATAAAATCATTTTTTCAAATCCTAAACTGCACACCATAACTTTACTTGCATTATCTTGTTTAGAGATGTCTAGTAAATTGTTCGATTAAGAACAGACAATCAGTTTATCTTTATAAAATAAGCGAAGGTATATATAAGTATCACCACATTGTTAGTTATTTTATAGTTGTGATCAATATAATAGACAATCGGTTTAACAATAGAAACTTAATCATATTGCATTGATTCAATCTTGTATAAAGGAACATCAGATGATATGATAATCAAAATCTATACAAACAATCTCTATATATCTACCTAAGCTATGAAATTAATCAATTAAATTTGTGAGAAGCCACATAATGGATAGTATTGGCGAGTTTGTTGATGGCTTCAACCAGACCGTTGATGCTTTGTCTATTGATCTCAGCCGTAGACTCCTCAGTTTGCAGTCTTCTTTGATGCAAACTCAGAACTTCTCTGTGCCTTCTTTCTTCTCTTTCTTCACTTGATTTAATGGCTTCTGCTATTATGAATGCACTCTGTGAGATTGCTGATCCAACTTCATGTAAGCAGCCACCACTGCTTCCTTCTCCTCCTCCTCCTCATCTTCTTCTCCTTCTCTTGGATGGTGAGTCTGAATACTGAGTCGTATCCAAACCTAAGTTATACAATTTCTTGAACGAGCTTAAACTATTATACATGAACTCACATTTAATTTACCCTAACTGCGGGTGAGGAATTTAAATATTTTTCCACAAATGCATGGCAAGTGGAAAATTTAGAAATGAGTATGTTGAACCAACTCACCTAAAAACTGCAAGAAGTGAACCATATCGATTCTCACTCCCCAAAATGTAGAAATTTAAATTCAAAAATGAAATCAGGGCTAGTAGGTTGGCAAAGAAAACAAGATTACAGATTTTACAATATAAAAGATATTATATCCACAGTTTCCACCGTAGAAAACTCTGCATGGCTAGTGCACAATGCTTTTCAGTTGAAGCAATTGGAAAATGACCTGAATTGTCATGCAAGTAAAAATTTATGCACCGTGCACAAAAACAGGGGCGGACCCAAGGGGGTCCTGTAGGGTCAAGTGACCCCCCAAATTTTGAGATTACCTTTTTTTTTCAATAAGTCCTGTTTGGTATCAATTGAAATATAAATCAAAGTTAGTAATTAATTTTAATAACATATTTTCTAGAATCCTTAACTTTTATAAAAATTTACTAAAAATTTGATTTTAAACCCCCACTAAATATGGACAAAATCACAATAAATTTGAATCCCTCATACCTTTTATCAAAACCTAAATTCTTCTAATTTTTTAAAATTTGTTTATAATTTTTATACAAATTATCACGTCTACTATAAATTTTCAATTTTCAATCAAATTTTCAATTAATTAGAACCTATTTGTATTTTTTTTGCTATCCTATTTGTTACATAGAATGTATCTGAACTGATTGTATCCAATTTAACTTATATTTAATTAATTGTATTTATTTAATTGAATATTGATTATATCATTTTCCTTTCGATCACTTGAATTGATTGTTTGTATTAAAATATTAAATAAACTATAAATTTTTTAAACGTCAATATGAATTTTCTTGTGATAAGCAAAATATTAATAAAATGATTGTTCAAAATCAAATAGATAAAAATTATGAGCAAAATATTAATGAAAAAATATTTTTTTAAATATAAATATGCAATTTCTCGGACCAAGTATAAATCATTCAAAAATCTATAACAAAACATTCAATTTGCACAGAGTTTGATTATGCCCCCTGGCCAAAATTTTCTATGTCCGCCCCCGATTACAGCAATGCTTCATGTTGTTAACTCATATATAACTTGAGTTACAGTGCTGTGAGCAACAAACATTCTTAATTAATTACTTCAATTTAGGTTTGAACTAAAATATGCAATTAAAGTCCAAGAAAAAAATGAAAAAGCATGCACTAGATTTTCTTGCAGTTATTTAACTCCGGTTTAACGAATCTTTTTTTCAATTATAAGCTGATAAAATTCATTTTATCCACTTTTAATCGTACATTTCATGTTCCCACCAACTTATAATCTTAAAAAGTTTTGTCAATAGTCGCTTACTAAGTTGTATTCAAGAAGAAGATTTGATCACCAATGCCAGTGCTCTAATCAATCGATTTGCTTTGAAATTATAAATTTAAACCTTAAAACATGCACTAACTGGGAATTAAGCTACGCTTGGGAGAAAATGACTGCTTTGTTCCATCCATCATTTAAAATTAATCACACTATATGTACAAACATGGTTGACAACATCCTAATTGGTATCATCATATTCATTTATTTTAAAAAAAATATTTTCTACATCATAGGTTTCAATTTGACCATTTAAAACATGAACGCCACGTCACTGTGGTTTTTCAGCTTTTCATGGTGCCAGCTAGGAGTTTCTTTTACTAACTCTCAAGGGTTTGACGGTCCAATTTGGCCCATCAACGCCCCCCTACTCCTCAGTTTTATCCATACTTTTGGAATCTAATCTGCAATGCAATCTTCCAAGGGTACAATGACTAAGGTGTAGATTTGGGTTCCTACAACTTTGAGGCCCAAGTTTTGATCCATTAAGATACCGGGTCAGATTATGACTTGGCCCAATTATTGATTCAATATGTTGAATGGTCCAATTTTTATTTTTATTTTTATTTTTATTTTTTTTTTGTGAAACACGCCTTTACTTATCAAATGCCACTTTTGCTTGATTACAGACACCTGACTAATGGAACACTGTTGGATTATAATCTTGGATTTCTCTATTTATAAATTGAAGAGTGTGACTTTAGGCCATCAAATGGTCGTTCAATCCTAGATGCTTCTCTCTCGCACTCTTCATCTTCTGGATGAACTCTTTGTAATTTCTTATTGAAATCATTTGATGTGTGAGAGAGTAAAATAGTCTATCTCTTCGTGAGTTTGTACTGTAATTGAAATCTTGCCTATTTTGAGGCTGTGCTAGGGGACTCGAGCAAAATCCTAACAAATGCTCAAAGGGGGATTAAGCATTTGAAGCGGTCGCTGAACTTCAAGGTGCCTTGGGCCGATACTTTGAGTATTTTTCATTTAAATCATTTGAGTCACAAAGTGGTAACTAATCGGGGACCAACAGTGGTATCAGAGCATGAAATTTTTTGTCAAACTCGAAATTATTTTCTTACGATCTATCTTTGTTTGACTCTTCTAGTTTACAATGAACGCCAAATAGAGCTGCTATTGTTTTATAGTGTGTGTGAAAAGTTTCTTCAATCGTAATCTTGAGTCGATTCTTGGTATTTTTTAGTACCTCTTGCATACTTGTAGTTTTGGTAATGATTATTCTAACCCTTCTCTGTATTCCTTGTAGAAAATCTATTTTATTTTCAAGTTTAAAATTAGAGATTTTCTGGAAATCCCTGTGAGAACCCTAAAATCCGAGATAATTAGGGTTCAATTTAAGGAAATCCAATAAGATTTTTTTCTCTTATTTTGATGTCACATCCACGTACTTGGTGTGTGTTGTGATATATGAGATTTGGGTTAATAATCATATATTTGTTGAACTATTATAACTTGTTCTTTTTTTTTCTTTTTTCTTTTTTTGTATATTGATACTCATACTGTGTTTATACTTTGCGTGTAAACTTGCAGGCATGTTTTGAATGTGTTGACCATTGTTTGCTGAGTGCGAACATTATAATCATGTACTTTTGGCATACATACCATTGAACGAATCACGGAATAAGGGATATTAGAAATGCATTATAGAATATGGTAGAAGTGATCGAACCGTTGAAATTATCCATAATTCTCTAAGGAACAGAGTTTTAGAACTTAAATCTGAACATAAATAAGTCCTTCATGTTGAGAAATCATCATCAAATTCTAAATACCAAACTAAAGGGTTGAGTAATTTTAGTCAAGCCAATTGCAGTGGAGATAAGAACTTCACTAAAAATAAATGGGGTAATAGCAAAGGAAAGGCTAAGAACATGAAGTGCTATTACTGTGGTAAATTTGGACATCTTATAAAAGATTGCTTTAAGAAAACCAATAGCCTAGGGAGTTGGTCCAATCATGATAATGGCACTTCTGCCATTGTTGCTTTTGACAAAGAAGAAAGTGTTGATATTAGAGTAGCTTATGTCTCTTCAATAGAAAGATCTGATAAAGATTGGGTTCTTGGTTCAAGCTACTCCTTTCATATTAGCTTCAATATTAGTTGGTTTCTGATTTCTCCAATCTTAGTGATGGTTTTGTAAAACTAGGGAACAATGATTCTAGCCAAGTAAAGGGAATTGGCAATATTGTTTTGAAATTAAAAAACACTCAACTGTTGAGGCTGAATCATACTAGTATGTTCCATTTCTTAGAAGAACTCTCATTTCCTTACGGGCCTTAGATGATGAAGAGTATCATATTGAAATTAAGAATGATTTTGCAAATATAATCAGGAACTTATTGAAGATTAATGGAATCTATATCATAAATTCTCAATCTGTTTTTCCCAACACTTCTATAACCTTAATGATAGAATCTGATAAATCAAAGTTGTGACAAAAGATTAGGCTACCTTAGTGAAAAAGGTCTAAAATTCCTTTAAAAGGAAAGACTTGTTGGAAAAGATAATTTTCAAAAGTTAACCTTTTGTGAACATTGTGTTATGGGGAAACAAAATAGACTATTCCTTAGGATTTGGATACATAATTCACAAAATATACTTGAATACATTCAAAGTGACCTGCGTGGTCCTAGTCTTACACCTACAGT